AAAAAAAAAAAAAAAAAAAAAAAAAAAAAAAAGTCAAAATACAAGATCCAGTGAAGGTGAACTAGGAGCCCAGGTTAGGACTAGACCAATTTTTTTGCAAGGTCTCTTCTATTTATCTTTAATTCAAGGTATCATTTATTCATCTTCTTTCCTTTTTTCAGAGAGCTTGGGATCATACCACCTACTTCAGGACATCCCAACTTCTGCTTGTTTCCTCTTCCTTTTTCCCTCAGCCCCAACCAGGTCTCCACAACAGTTCATCTGTGATGACATAAAATCCGCAATTTTCTTTTCAATACTTTCACAACACTTCCACAAAATCCTATTTTCATGACTCGTTTTATGTGAACCGTACAGTTCAGGGAAGGCAAAAAGAGACTGAGGATGGTACAAGTGAAATTAATTATTCATTAAAGGGATGGGATGTGTGGTCTGCCATACAAAGAAACTTCTAAATATTTGGTAAGGGAATGCAGTTTGTATATAATCAAGGCATAAGTCTTTAATCATTAAAACCATAATTCTTATACAAAAAGAAAGTGAGTACATGTAGAAATTTCCTTTAACTCATTAATGAGGGAAATGGCCGGTTGGCAAAGGTAGTTTAATGAAGATATGAGTAATTAGGATTTATGTGGTCTGTGAGAAAAAGAGGATTACTGAAATAAGATCACGAAATTAAAACAAAAATTACAAATGTCCTACAGAACAATGAAACCTATCTTTGTGGTTATTTTTTCTACCAGGCAGAAAAAAATGATAGTTTATTAGTTTTTTATAGGTCTACATTGCTGTAAAACATCTAGCTTCTAATCAATTATGTATATTAAGTCAAACAAAGTTATGTTCCACAAAACAGTCAAATGATCCTTAGGTGGGCATTTTACAAAAGGCTCAAGTGTGATATTAAAAGGCTGCATAGTCATTTTTCCCCCTAATCCCACATGTTGGATATTCTGAATAGTATCTAAAGTTAATCACATATACAACTGTGTCCTCTGAATAGGGGGCCAAAGTCTTGACCAAGTAAACCCTTAAGTTTGTAAGAAATACATTTAAGGTGAATAAAACCAAAGACTAGTTCATATAACAGTTTGTTATTTCTGGAGGGGCTGGAAAATAAAGCCATTCTACTAAATTATTTAAATTATACTAAATTTAAATTATACTAAATATAACCTAGTCTTAGATAATTAAAACATTGGGCCAGGGTGTATGAAATTGTTGCCAATTCAGATTCAATTTATTTAAAATCAAACACATCATTCCATTTAGATTCACCACCCCCCCACCCAGGAGTAAATTTTTCTTTCATTTTTCCCATTTATTAATGGCAGCTCTATTTTCTCAGCCTCCCAGTCTGAAACCTGACTGACTGACCTTTTACTCCATACTTACATTATCTCTGACAGTCACTTTTTACATCCTAAAAATTCTGCTTGCTGGATGTCTTAATCTAATTACCACCAACCTTTCCCATTAACACCACTATGATTAAAGTTTTCCTGAAGTAATCTGTGTGACTTTAGTCTCTACCTAAGTTGATCTTTCAAGACTACAAGTTTGGAAATGCCGCTGATAAGTGCACTCCAATGGCTTTGCCTTGTATACGGTTTAAGCCTACTAACCCTTTCCTGACACTGATGGCCCTCTTAATGTATGCCCAGTTTTTCCACCTTTTACATTACACCTATTGTAGGTTCCTATATTACCACTATTTTACTTTATTGGACCCCTGCCTTTTAGAAAGCTGCACATTCTAAATTGTTCTCTTATCAAGTACTACCATTTCCCAAAATATTTTTCATATCTTTCCTAAAGGACTTTTCATATTTCTCAAAGAATGAGATAGTTCCTTCTTACCGGTCCTACTAGTCCCTATATTTTAAATAGTGTTTTATAACCTCTTATTGATTATAAATTCAGTTGAGAAGAAAGACTGTATGTATCCATCCTTGTGTGCCATGCAGTGCCTAAGTATTGTGCCTTGCATACAATAGTAGCTTGATAAATACTTATTAATTTGAAAATTGCTGCTCAGGTCCTCCCTTACCACGTTTCTTGGTGCTATTCCAAAGATGGGATTCAAAACAGGATCATAGCTTTAATACAGTATGCAATTCAATATGCTCTTATGCCAAGAAGTATTTATTTGCCCTATGGATTGCCATAAAGAGAAGTGAGTCAAGTATCAAGTATGTGCAATGCTGTTATTGGTTTGGCACCTGCTCATGCTTCAGATAAAGGTTTGCTTTCAGATGGTTATTCGGTTATTTATTTATTCTGGAAAATGCATATTCCTAAATTTTTTGTGGTCTTGTTTATTGTGTTAATGATTAACATGCCACTGAAAATATGCCTCTTAGGACTTACGTACAAGGGAGAAGGCTGAGCCATTTTTTTTTTTAACCATTATAACTACCTGTAACTGTCCTGAAATATCTACCTTGTACATGTGCCCTAAACTATAGTTAACTGGCTTAACCAATTTGTAGTTAAAATGATGTGGGTTCAATCTTTCACTACCTGACTTGAAAGGAGAATATTCATGGCTTAATTTTGAGAAATCATACATATACTATGTATCACATGATATAATGATGTATGATGTAATTGTATGCATCGTGTAGAAGCATAGGACACCTTTATGCGGGGGCTGACTACTAGCTCCTGAGAGCCAGTTGTCTATATCTCTCCCAACTCTCACAAGTTTTTTAACCTTGTTTTAGCAGCGTGGTATCCACCATGCAGGATTTAAGATATGGAAATTGGCTGACTCTACAAATCAGGGCAATTTTTCTCCCTGGAAAGCCAAGTATTGATTTTTTATGGACACACCACTGTGTATGTGTGTTTGTGTGTGTGCACGCACACATGTGCACATGTGCATGCACACATAATATATATGTATGCAGTAGACGGTGCTGGAAAAAAAGCAATTACTAAGAAAACTTGAAAAGTCAGCTTTTTTGCATTCTTCATTGTATTCAACTTTCTTCATTACTGTTTGCATATCATATTTTATTTTGTAAAGAGCTAGGATGAAGTGATATTACAACATAGACTTCCTTATTATTAAGTCATGGCAACACTGGGAACCTGACAGCAAGAGAATAAGTTAAAGCAGTTTCCAGTGACAAATTGTTCTAATACCCAAATTCATGTTTTAGTGATACCTTTAAAATATAAATAGGAAGTTAAGTGTGCATTTGCAGAACAATATATAGGTTTGAAATTTATTGATGGAATTGTTGTATATCAATAAGAAATAAATCTAAACTTCAGATATGTTTCTGAATAAATAATTGTACTCCCTTCTGCTATCTGATTTCACTTGCATAGTGATTTATTTCCAAGAATAACATGGCTGCTTG